GTTTTCCCTATAAACTTGTGATTGAGACACTTGAGTAAGGCTTTTACCGTTTTTTTTTCTTATCCTCGAAAAATGATCGTATCAGAAAGAAATATGTCATTAGTACAAAAAGTTTATATGTTAGACATAACTCGTCATTGTGTGGGCAAAATAAAAAGCAGCAATCTCAATTACACAGTTATGCTATCTGTTTTGAAAATAAACATTTTGTACATCGCATTCCTTACATTTGATGATTTATTTGGAGATGAAAGAGAAACGTCTTAACACTCGTTTGCCTTTAAGGTTATCAAACACAGCCAAGATCTTGGACATCGTCAAATTCTTGATGCACAGAGTTACCGCAGCGCCAAAGAGCTGGCAACAGACTATCAAAAGACCAGAACTATGTTGTACAACCGCTTACAAGAAACTGGGTACGGCTCCTGGGATTTGATGAAAAAACCCCCGGAACTGAGTCATTTTAATTAAGTATGTGTTCGTTATGTTGGTAGTTTTACGTTATCACAAAGAACAGATTCTTACGAGTTCAGTACTTTTCTCTGTTATGTTTCGTATTTAACTTACATAAGGCTTTATAAGGAAGTAGCCAGGGGTGTGCTCTAGTGCATTTTAATCCCCCTTTCCCTCTTTCCCTCTGTTGTCCGTAAGACCCCCCTTCCTGGCCCCTGGATTTTTTTTCTTATTCTGACCCAGTATCTTGTCCAGAAGATACGGAATTTTATGAAAGATTTCGAATTTAAGGATAAAATGATCTACAATACGATTTTTTAAATTGCATTTAATTTATTTCCTTTTTAACTCGTGAATTGCGCGCATGCGCAAGAGCGAGTGTTGTCCGTAATTCCTGTAAACTTTTTTTTAGATTTTAGGCTTTTGAGTGCATTTTATAGTTTTTGGCGAGCAATAAACAGACGAAATGGCGACCTTTGTTGCTAAGAATAGTGGTGGGGTGAAAAAGAAGCCGTTCAACAAGTGGCGCCAGCGACTGGCAGGCATGCAAGGATTCACACTGAAATAACAGAACCTTCGTTTTTCACAAAATTGTAATTTACAGTCCTTGAACTTGAAAACAATCCGAAGATTTTACAGATGTTCCCTGTTATAGCGTGAGATTTTTTTACGTTTCGTCGCGTGTGTTTTTCCTGTGAGAAGCAACAAAAGATTGACTGACCCAGTATCTTGTCCAGAAGATACGGAATTTTATGAAAGATTTCGAATTTAAGGATAAAATGATCTACAATACGATTTTTTAAATTGCATTTAATTTATTTCCTTTTTTTATTTTGTGGGGAGAGGGTGGAATAATTTCCTAGGAGGAGTGCTTCTTGAGCTTTTAAGAGCCCGTGTTTGAGTCTATAAGGGGACATATAAGGTAGATACGGGAGGATTATAAGTAACCAGGTCGTAGATCGCCACCTGGGCCCAGTTGTCCAAAGGGCGGATGACGCTATCCAGCAGATAAGAGTTAACAAAACCTAGTGTACTTTCTACCGGATAGAGATTTATCCAACGGATAGGGTTATCTATTCTTCGAACAACCGGCCCCAAAGTAAACAGTGTTAGAGTATTATCCGGTGTTGTCTTTCTTAATGTCATGCAATACATCTTCCAACGGTGTTAAATTGTAAAGGAGAGTGTCTTTCATTCGACAGATTGACTTACGTATACCGCATTTTATTAAAAGAAAGTAATATAAAGGAAAACTTTATTGTGTTTCTCTACAGATATGAATAGATGAAAGACTAATGAAATCCTTGTTGGTTTTTTTTAAGCATCAGTTGTACAAAGTTCATGTCACATCTAAATGTTTTATTTATTTATTTTAATAATAATTGACTGTCCGGCATTTAGGTCAAGTAACACGTATCAGAAGGAGCTTGGTCTATATAATTTGACTAGTTTGTGAGCAGGCCCTCAAAAATAGCAGGCTTTGACACGAACGTTGCAGCCCCTCGCGGAAAAGTATAAGTCTTGAGCAATGAAAACCAAATAGAGATCAGCAGAGGGTGTAGCACTGTTCTAATCCCCAAATCTTCCCGCGGGCGGAGAAACGCGTGTCCTGCAGGGCTGATGATATGGGCCTGCATTAAATACTTACTCTACTATGCATTTCAATCGGTTTTTAGAATTTTTATGTATCTTTTTTTTTATCATGTTTGACTGCTTGACATGAGAATAGTAGGAATGAGTTTTTTTATAGAACTAAGTTATCATTACAAATTTGTAACGTAAATTTCAGCTTTCACTCCTAGGGTACGATTCAGTGGTCAATTCTTTTTGTCGACTCCATTTACGCTTGCAATGATTTTTATAGTAAATATGGTTTATTACAAAGTAATCTTGATATCTGTGTTATTGTGTGGGAAAGGAGAGTAATTTAAGTTGATACACTGACAATGATAATGAAATTATCAACTTGTATCGAATTTCCACTGGAAAAAATGTGTTTGATTGTAGCGTAGAAAAAAACGTACTCTATACAGCTAGGAACCAGTATGTATCGAGTGATACATTATTTAAACAAGGTACAATAAAAATCTCATATCTCTGAATTCGTGTCTGTAATCTTGTTTCGCTTTTCTGTTTATATTTCATTTAATCCTTTCAACCCTGAGAGTGGACAGTAATTTCTCCATACATTTTTATTGCCGAGTCATTTGATAAATTCATGAGAGTAAAGGAAATGATCACCAACCTAAGAAGCTCTGATTGTTGAAAGAATTCTCCTTGTCAGTATCAAAAGGAATGCGTAATAAAGAGTATGGAGAATGTGGCCACTGATCTTTAAGTTCATGTTTGTTGTGGCAACACGCAAATTGATGCTCTCACGAGTCATTTTCCACTAAACTTTTCGAAATAGTAAAATTTTCAAAACATTTTGTTAGTAACAGTTTGGTTTTTTTTATCAATCCTACTGATAATGGCTTTTCCATGCAGCGGGTAAACCTTTCGGTCCCAAGATTCATTAGTAATTCTCCCTACTGTGCCATACAATTCTTATGTCGATCATCGAAAATTTTCTTAAATTGATGCATTTCTTTACTCTTATCACTTGTCTGCATGATATTGTATTGATAATGTAAGGAGAAACTCTGTCTTAGTCACTCGTGGGACTTAAGGGTTAAACTAAACCAAAAGTATTGCATCGGCTAATTAGACCCTAGTTAGATGTCACAAGAGGGTTTATTAGAACCTCAAGTACACGAATGTACCTGGCCGTTAGCATTATTTGCTTTTGGTTGAGAGGAAGATGCCACTTTTCTAACTCTACTTTAGGGCTTAACAAATTAAAATATAATTCAATTCCTGATTTCTTTCGATGCCTCATTGAGGATTTCCCTTGATAGTTCTTGCTAGTTCAGCCTTCAGCATTCCGGTTTACAATAATTGTAGGTGAGTTGGAGTGGTGAGATCTCCGTGCTTATGTATTGCGACTTATTTTAAAGCTTAAAATGAGAACTATGGAACGTTAATGGAACATTGTCGTTTGATCTTCAAATGTGACTTCGTTCAATGTAATGAAGTTATGTTCCTTTAAGCTTACCTTATTCAGAAAGATGCCTAACATTTTGCTTAGGGAGGATAAAATTTGTTGGAACGAATTCCTAAGAATTGTAGGCCGTCAAGTCCGCCACATTGAAGTTCTGCCTTTCGCAAATTTATTATGTCCTGTTAGTAAACAGTGGATTTTTTGTGTGAAATTGCCGTTGCCTACTGTAATGCAATCCCCTCCATAGATGAAATTATCAAACCATTCGAACCTAGAAAACCATTTATAAGCATACAGGCAGTAGATTTCAAATGAACTAAAATGTGACTGAAACTGAATAATAACTCCGCTGACAAATTTTCTGGCGTTTTTTAAAATATATTAGATAAAAAGATATTCTTGGAGCCTATGTTGCGGTAAGTCCTCTAATAGTTAGTTCAGGTCAGATCCATCGTTTTAAGTGTTTTTAATGAATTTAATTGAGTTTCACTGCGACGGAATGTTCCCGAAAGTCTGTGGAAAGTTCAACTTTGAATTCTACGAACTTCATTCAGTTCTACAGTTTAAAGATAAACGCATTTAGGACTAGACAGTTTAAGCTTTGAAAAGGGATATATTTCTTTTCACAAACTGACCTAGATTAATTTTCTGTTTTTATGTCATCGTGTTCAAACCGAATTTCATCATCAATTTTCTTGATCCTCATTTTTAGACGTTATAGTTCACTAGACCAAGACTTATAAGATAAACCCAGTTTTTTGAGAGACCCATATATCTCACAAATGAAATTAAAAACAGATATCAGAGGCGTATCAACATGGAAGTCAGAGGAGTTTGATAAATTTTAGTGGTGTGAAAGTCATTGTTATTTAGTATTACAATTGTTACACTTTGTCTCAAAGCACCTATTTTCCTCGTACCTTGAAAAAGCTCGATTTAAAAACACTCATTTACGGCTGACCCTAAATTTTTAACACCCTCAAACGGGCCGCTGCAATTCCCTTAAATATTTTATTTACAAGTAAACAAATTCCATACATCTTTGTTGTTTTTGCTGTTGCTATATGACAAACTATAGGATTCACAACCGTATATTACTTCATTGTACTGTACACAAATACAACAAGGATGCGTACTCTACAAACTGGTCGAATGTACTTTTGACAGCAGTAAGTCTATCGAATCTCGATAACGTTTTATATTTTTCGCGCTAAAGAGTCATCGCCTCGTGAAATTTAAGAATCCATAACTAGAACTTGTAGAAATGTAGAATTCAAGCGCTTATCAAACGCGTATAGAAATTGCATTCAGATAATATTTAACGACCACCTGCAAGGGTTTACAGCTGAAGACATATTACGCGTGCGCCCTGAATTTCCTTGACAATGACTTGAATGACAGCTTCGAAAAGTTTAAGTTTTTTGCATGAAATTTTCAATCGCCTAAGGCTTTCGAATGCAAATCACTCGTCCTTTCTCGCCGCGCGACCAAATGCAAATAGTGAGTATAAACATTGCGAGAGTTATACAAGCTTTTCTGGCAAAGAGCCTTTTTCGTGGAGCAAAAAATCGATTTTTGTCGTCTGGTTTGTACTGATCAACAAATTGCAGACGGGTAAATTGATCTCATAACAATTTCAACCACAAGGAATAGAGATGATTCGCGGAAAATCACACTGGTTGAAAGCATATGTTCAATTGCTTGTTTCTTGTTGACCAAGGTTGAAAGAACCACGCACCTGTCGAGTGAGAAATTTTCGAATTTCTTGGCTCAGATTTGTTACGGAGTTTTTGCCCGCAAAACCACAAGTGCACCAACGTGGACTGTTAAAATAATCTTTTCTGGGATTTGTGGCAGAGTTGGGGTGAGAAAAAAACGCCCAGCGCCGATGAGGAATTCCCTTTGGAAATGAATGAGTTGAATACGGTTGCAGTCAAGGAAATTGTTAGCATAAGGGAAGAAGAAAAACTAGACAAAGAAGAGGAGGAACCAAGCATGCAAGATGTGGAAATTCCGGGCAGTTCAAACAACGTGCAAGATTGTGAGCTGCACAAGCAACGCAGTCAAACATCGTCCTCGCCGCCGCAAACAGCGAAACGAAAAGATCGCATAAGCATTAATGTTGGTGGTATCAGACACGAAACGTATCGTAGTACACTAAAAAATATTCCCGACACTCGTTTGTCGTGGCTTGCAGATGCCTCGCCTGGTTCCGTGGACTATGATGCAGATATGGGAGAATACTTTTTTGACCGCCATCCAAGCGTATTTTCTAATGTTTTAAACTATTATCGCACGGGATATCTTCATTGCCCGTTGGATGTTTGTGGACCTTTATTCGAAGACGAGCTGAATTTTTGGGGAATTGATGATCAGCAAGTGGAGTCCTGTTGCTGGTTAACGTATCGACAACATCGAGATGCACAAGAAACGCTCGCTGCGTTCGAAGGAGTGGAATTCGAAAACGATTTTGACGATGAAGAACAGCCTGATTTTGGCCGATACGGCTTCACATTCGCGGCGGAAACCGAACCAAATGTAACTTGGTGGCAGAAATATCAGCCGCGAATTTGGACTTTAATGGAGGAGCCGTATTCTTCAAAGCTTGCGAAGGTTAGTGTAAATTATAGTTTAAAGGCACAAGGCCGTTTTGGAAGTGGTGAGAAACCCTTAGAAACCATTTCAATTTGAGCTCATTTAAGAAATAAAAAATAATACGCGCGCTGTATCGCAAGATTTTCAAAGTTACAATTAAACTCCCAACGGCACTTTTTATAGCAATGAGAGGAAAACTAGGTTATGTTCGAAGCCACGAATAAGTTTTGAAGGATATTTTCTAATTGTTGCAATAAACGGTAGCGCGCCTCGAAAAGCAAGGTCATAAAAGAAACCTTATATACGCCCGAAGCCTGTTTTACTCATCGATGAAAAATCGAATCTTCTACAATACATTTGTAGTTCGGCTTGAGTACTTTAATCGAAGTCACAAACCGCTCGATTTTAAACTTTTAACCGCGATCTATTGACGTAAATTACCCGCGAAAAATAGAAGAGCTCTTAGATCCACGATATTTCGTTGAATTCATCAGTTTTCGAAACATCATGGGTGATTTTTTCAACTTTAAGTCATATCTCGCTCGGAGATGTTTACGTTATTTCCCGCGGAGCAAGCACGTATATATACAAAATATAGTATGGACAATTTGTCGCGTGAAAAAAGTTCTAAACCTCAATCATAAATATTGTGAATAAAATGCTAGTGAGCTTTCGTAAACTGTAGAAGTCATCTTTTTGGGGTTTTCGTTGAATGAAAAGACGAAAATTTCTGACCTTTTGAAGAGGGGGATATTTAAAATTCATATTTAAACTAGTATTTCGCTCCGAATATTTTAACGCATAACACAATAACAGTGTTGAAATATAAAGCTACAAAGAAGGATCTCTCTGAATCGCGATCAGATTTCATTTCGCACAGGCGGTTATATTTAGATGCACAGACTTAAAAGGGGTAAAAAAAACGCATCAACTTCGATTGAAATTTTGTAACTACCTTGTAACATGAGTAAACCGTACCCACAGATAGGAAATAAAATATTTATGAGACAGAGTGCCTCAATGATTGCTTTATACAAGATTCCTGGTGAGCTATGAATTCTTGTAATCCTGGAAATTATAGTCTGCTCGATTTAATCAAGGTCTAAATTCTTCACGTAATTGGTGGCTTTAGAAGTATCTCCTGTTTAACAAGCGAGCGGATAAAAGACTCAGATGGAAATTATTCCTTTATTTTAACGAAGAAATGGCGATCCTTGATTTTTAGTAAAACGTTTTTTCTTTATCTCTCAAGTTCTTTACTATTTCACCAGTCTCCCAGCATGTCTATTGAATAATTATCGTTTAAAACACGAAGGGGCGATTTAGAAACTGAAGTATACTTATCTTATTCAAAAACAATTCAAGAGATCTGAGTCTCTTTTTCTCTACAAAACGAAATTTTATTCCGATTTTTAATATACTTGTGGCCCTCAAAGCTTGGACCAAAGTTTACTTTTTTGTAGGAAAACGTATTTGGTTGTGACGTTCAAGTAGTTAATTTACAATGCTGGTGTACTATAAATCGAGTCTAAGTGCTGCTGGTTGGTTCCAAGCGAAATTTAATCAATTCAGCTATAGAGGAAATGTGAGTTAAATTCACGTTGTGAAGTCTAGAGTGCTGAGAAAATTTAAATCTTCTTCGGAAGAAAATTGCTTTCAAAAGCCATTTAAGTGCTTGAGTCGTGCGGATGAAAGATTATCAGGAACGAATTTTCGTTCGCTCGTTTATTTTCAGTATTTTTGTACTCGCTGTGACACTCACATTCAGTTGGATTCATCTTACTTTCGTTCTGCTGTGATGGACGGAAAACATATTTCACTGTGGTGATTTATCGGTGTTATGGAAATAGGGCATTCGTTAGCCGTATCACTAGAACCCGGAGCTAAGTAGATACATCAAAAAGAACTGTCTGGTGAATTGAAATTATGTACGATTTATGAAACGAGAATTCTTCACAATAAAGAAGGGAAAACGCACATAAATGATTTAGCTTACTGTTGGCAAATATTTGTTTTAAGAAAATTCTCCGAGTATAGAGATTTCAAAGCCAGTTATTAGAAGGTGAATGTATTTAGATACTATAAGTACACAATGTTGACGGTTGCCACTAGTTACGCTTCTAATACCGACCAATCTGAAGACCTTGCGCTCGCCGAGAAGAACAATTTGCTGATAACAATTTTGATAACATATTTCGCGTCGGTTCGATCTCTAACTTAAACCATGTTGCAATCGACGGAGTTTTGTACTGGTGATGATTTGATACCGTGGGAAAAAGAAATACGCTGCGATTTTTAACGTCAGTGACTAAAAACTAAACCAATAGTAAAAGTTTTTGTTGTTTGAAATTGGTGTATTTCACAGCCCAGGCAGGGCTGAACGGCTTCTTAGTCAAGTAAAATAACTCTCGAAATTATTTTTAACACTGGGTCTGTTTGTCCTAAAACGCTCTTCACAAACGACATGTTAATTAGTTGTTTCTCGGGATCAAACCTCGTAGCTAAGAAACGACATAACAAAGGATCTATGCGTACCAACGTTACCAGTTGCCCACGTCGACCATATATTAATATATTATAAGACGAACTGGCTCGAAGGCGTTTGTATTACCTTGAATACAGAGAAAAAATGAAGACAAGCAGACTGGGGGAGGGAGGTGACACTACTCTAGTTGAGAAAAAGAGAGAAATATGAGCAGAGAAATGATTTCCTAAACATAATTTAGTACCGCGCGAGAGCACAAGCAAAATACTTAAAAAGCTTTCAGCTAGTTTAACGGTTTGAAGTGATTTGGGTTGACAAAACCGCCGAAGAATATTCTTAAAGCTCAAATCTTTCTTTCCCAGTCTGAACTGACCAGTTTTATTCTAGCTTTGATTTCATTCCACGAGGACCGTTGAAAACGTGTATTTCTTAATGTTTGATAAAACTTAAATGGTGATCAATTTGTTTATGTATTCAGGTCATTGCATACACGACACTGACACTGATCGTCCTGTCAGTGATCTTGTTCTGTTTGGAGTCCATACAATATTTCCGTGAGGAAAAACCCGAGCTGGCGCTTAAAATCTTGGAAGCAATCTGCGTTGCCTGGTTTACGCTGGAACTTTTGGTTCGATTCATCTTTTGTCCACATAAATTGGCATTCTTCAAAAAAGTTATGAACTGGATAGATTTTTTGGCGATCGTGCCGTTTTACGTCAGCCTATACCACGCTACAGAGAACAGTGACAACGTGGAGATCTTGAATATAATTCGGCTCATCAGAATTTTCCGGATTTTCAAACTTTCTCGTCACTCATCCGGGCTTCAAATCTTGGGACACACTTTGCGAGCAAGCGTGCGCGAGCTACTTCTACTAATTTCGTTTTTGATCATCGGAGTTGTCCTATTTGCTAGTTTAATTTATTACTGGGAGAAAGACGTTCCCAACACGAAATTCTGCGACATACCAAATTGCTTCTGGTGGGCCGTGGTTACCATGACGACCGTGGGTTATGGTGACATGGCACCCATAACGCCTATGGGTAAATTTATTGGCAGCATTTGCGCGGTTTGTGGAGTGCTGACGATAGCACTTCCGGTTCCTGTAATTGTCAACAATTTTTCTTTGTACTATTCTCACGCCCAGGCGAGACTTAAATTACCGAAGAAGCGACGTCGAGTTCTCGTTAATGCTCCGAACGCTCTTAAGGCGTCGGCCGTCGTCGAGAATGGAATGAGTGGTGATTCCAATGGCAGCTCTGATAGCGGCTGCACTGAGAACAGTGCTGCAAATGGTGGAAGAAAGTGTAGTCTTCTGATTACTGATGAACTCAATGAAGTTAAACCCAGACGGCCTGTGAGGAGGGATAGTCATTTGTTTAATAATACATCAACTTCCAATGGAGATGTTGCTGCTACCGCTGCCACAACAAACAACAGCAGTCGACAAAATTACGCCATGCAGAAACGGCTGTCAATGAGACCTACAGTACCCACCCTACCGGAAGTGGAATGAAACCAACGATACCAAACCTAGCGGATATGAAATGAACCCTTCCCGAGATTACGTGTCATCTATGGAGGTAAGGGAAGTGGGAGAGAAGTTAAACACTTCCCCCTCCCACCTCTCCCCCCCCCCCCCAGAAACCTACCCCCAGAAGACTTTCATTGAAACGAAGTGCGAGAGCGTGAGAGCAATAAAGTCAAAAGCACGACCCACTGTCGTAACAAGGGGAAGAGTGCTTGGGTATAGGTGTCGTCGGCTACTTAGTCAGTAAAATCGTATCAAGCGTGCTTTAAGTAAAACCCAGCCTTGACATCATTTTTAAACGTATTCTTGAGAGAAGATTTGGTGTCTTCATTGCACGCGAATTAATATATCAAAGACATAGTTGTGCTTTAAATATATCGAAACTTAATGGCTTAATGGATCTTAAGTGAGCGAAAATGTTTCTTGTAAACAAAAATATTTGTTTACACATTTGTAATATTGTTTATTCATTTCATAAAAATGTGAAATTCAGTAGCCCTTGGATCTATAAAGCATCTTTGCTCGGACGAAACAAAATCTGACATTTTCATTATCTTCAGCTCATAGGTCATCGTTTTATAGCTCAACTTAACTGAGCTTATTAATGGTTAATACATTTTATGAAAATGTGTTGGGACTGGCCGAGTCATGCAAAAAAAGACGATTATAAGGGAAGATGGCTTTTGGCTTAAAAGTGCTGTTTTAAAAAGGATATTTGGAATCAATAACCCTATGACGTAACACCGCTAACCGTCAATGGTTCCTTTAGGGTCAGTTTAGTTGCCTGGCAGCATCATTTATTAAACGGGGAAGACGTCATTATTTACAATTTTATGAAATGTAACCATGCTTTCGTATCGAAGGGATGTTAAGGACGATCTTGAAATGGTAATGACGGAAATTTGGTTCTCGTGGCAACAGAGTGATAAGCATGCAAAATGTCACTTGAAGCTTCCTTCTTCGAAAGATTGGCAACGAAGTACACAACTTTTTTATTGACAATACCTACAAATACCGTAAATTCCCAAAAAAGCGATGAGCTATGCCGTTGAATACTAACCTAAATTTAATTTGACAAGGACATTTTTTTCTCTAAAATAATTAAATTTGGGAGGTGTTGACAGATTCGAAATATCGTTCTGTAATCAATAAAAAGGGCGCTTGCAACAAGATTGGGATCTCAAATTGTCCACTAAGCATTGATAACTAGGTGTCATCGCAAATGTTTATCACCTGAAAGGTTTTTAGACCGAACATTATAAATCAAGTGGCGATGAAGATTGTATTTAAAAATTGCAATGTAATTAGATTTTTTTCGACAAAAGCACACATTCCTAGTAACGTTTACAAATCATAGAAAAGGTCACATATAAAGTCACATACAATAACAGAATACATATGTGACCAAGAGTTTATATATCCCTAAATGTACAAAGTGTATATAGTTCATAACTGTCACTTGAAGACTATTTTCCTAGTAAGATAGCCAGACAATCCAAAAGTTAAGAAACATGTCGAGTAGATTTTTGTAGATGTGTAGTTGAACTAAGACATAAAGTTTGAATAAATCACTTTTAGATAGTTGGACTCGTTGTGTATATTTCCTTTGTGTCTTGTTTTCCTAATAAGAATTGTTCGAAAGAGTAATGTGTTCTCTGTAGCTTTCTGTATGTATATAACTTAAGTTATTTAATAGCTTATATCGATATGAACAGACAGACTGAGACTGCAGCGAATCACGATGTACGTTCGTTTATTGAACAGTGTAACAAAGCTGATTATTGCAATCTGATTCGCTACCGAAACGAGGTTTTTCACGGAAGGGAGGAGGGGGGAAACTGCTGCTCGACGGTGAGGTTAACTTATATGCACCAATCGGTAATACGAAGCACCAAGGGACCAATCCGTGCCAGGGGTTGGGTGGGGAGGGGGAGAGGAGGTTGAGCATCACATGATTTTCAGGGGAAACGGAAGGGGGATTAGTCGTCGCCAACAGAGTATAAAGGATGGGAGGAGGCAATTGAAAATTGAATCCCAGTTAACTGCCAATGAAGGGAGGGAACATTAAAAATATTACAGAGCCACGAGCTCCTGACACTACACTCTCTCCACTGTTAAAAGGAAACCAGCCGTTTTAAGATTGAATTTGATCGGTAAACCATGATGCAACTTTGTACGACAACATATAACTGGGGTCAACTGAAAAATGGACTCAATACCTAATTTTTAAAACTTAAAAAAAATTGAGTGAAGTTGCGTCGATTAAACTAAATTTCTATATACAGCAGATTAAATGCTTTTACATGCATCGACAGAGCTAATAAACTGAGCACATTTGCCCAAAAGTACTGGATTAAAACTCGTCGTGATATGTTTGACCAAACTGTGTGACGTAGCTTCCGGCAAAGATCTCATGACTTGTGACAAACTCATCTGCTGTTAGTTTTCCATCCTGGGAATATAAAATTCATATACAGTTAATTTTTTTTAATAAGAGAATGTAAAAGGCTTATATTCTCTTGTCTGTTATATGAATTTTCACGCTAAAAAATATTCGGAATTCTGTAAGTAATAAACAACGTTTGTTTAAATGGAGACATTTTTCTGCCAACATAAATTTGTAGAGTTGTTTTCCAAGTGGACATAAATGCCTGCTTCAGGGAGTTAAACCAGGCTAAAGTACGGATTTGCGCTATAGACTAGCAAGGATAACGTTAACAAAGATACATCTAATGTCGTATGCGCAATTTTCAATCGAATGTTGAAAGAAATCCAGGACTGCTTAGGTTTTGCTCAATCTAGCTGTATTTCTCTCCCAACAACCGGCGCCTTTTTCTCAACCAAGCAAATTCAAAGCTTTAACCAATGGTGACTTGGTATCTCAAATTTTCCTGCACTTCAGACAGTTAACTTGGATTTACGAGTTCTGGTTGGCTCCAAGTGATTTTTACCCTTGTTGTGATTGGCTGCTGAGATCAGTTCGGTTTTGGTTTTACTACATTCCATCGAGTGTAAGAGAACTTTTCGATTGAAAGTCGTAAAAAAAAAAACCAGAATAATCCCAACAGCCAATCTGAAAACAGAAAATACCCTAAAGAGCTAAATGATAAGTCAAAGTGCAAACACCTTGAGCGCGGGAAAGCGCGGGAAAGCGCGGGTGGCCGAGTGGTGATTGGTTTAAGGTTTGCATCTGATTGGCTGAGACTAGCGCAAGTTTCTGGACTGATTACGTAGCGTAGTGAAGCAAAACAAACGCAGTCCCGGAATACTTGTTGAAGTAGGATTGTCCATAATTACCTTATTCATGTCTGCATACTCTATTAAATGCTGAGCCTCTCCCAGCGCTTTGTTAAAGTTTTTCGGCCTTCTCCATTCTTCCATTTCTTTCTGAAAAGTATTATTAGCAATGATCAAGAAAGTGTTACTGCCTTGCGAATGTTAGAATCCAAAATGAGGGGACGTGCTAAAAAATCCACAAACTTAACTGAACTTGGTAATCAAAAAGTTAGCGAGGCAGCTGGACATTACAGTTTTGCCTCTTACCAGGTTAAGGAATCCATCGTGGTCGACGTCGTATTTTTCATTGAAGTCCGCTATGTACAGGGTATTGAATGCTGGCATATCGATGTAGGCTGCAAGATGAAATTGAAAACTGTGTCACTAGCGTGCTGTTACTTGAAAAACTGGAAATTACTCAGGTAAAAATTTATTGTTAAGAGGAAGCTAGACAAGTTTCAAACGCTTCTCTTGTGCTGTGGAAATTGTTCGATGCGGCAGATTTCAAATGGAGAACAGTGTTGTATAATAGCAAACTCTATTCATAATTCGTACTCGTCGGAAGTGACTAGAAAATACTCATTTGAATCGACTCGATCACTTCAAATTAATGAATTTACGAGTGGTGGATTAAACAGCGCTATTTATTGGACCCTTACAAGTGTGTATGCAGACGCCGCATCCAGGCTTGAAGTGATGGTTATGTATGTACGTATGTTTATGTAATGTGATCCAGTTTCGTACGCACCATCTCCCATGTCTTCACTTCATATAGTTTATTTGGTAGAGCGAACATTAAGTACGGCGTTTGACAAGGCCAGCGTAATAGCACCTTAATATAAGTTTACATCCCACACAAGGGCATGTATTAGTTACATTTCATTTAATGATTATCATCATTGAAATTCAATAACTAAGACTACTTATCTAAATCATTTACCCAAATATTCGTCCAAAGATAGGCGACCATCTTCGTCCTTATCATATCGATCGAGTATTTCCTGGGAAAAAACGATAGCGTTAGTGTGAATTGCCTGGTTTCTTAACGATGTTTTAACCCTTTGGTCCCTAAAAGTGACTTGCATCCAGTTTCTCCTTACAATATCACAGCTGAATCACATATTGAGGTCCCGAGAATAAAGAAAACGATCGCCAGCTAAAGAAGGTCTTGATTGGTAAATAAATTCTGCTTGTCAGTAACTTATAAATGTATAGAGAAGAGTATGGAGAATGTGCATACTGATGTTAGGGTGTCAAAAAAAACCATGAAAACCAAACAAGGAAAACCGGTTTACTCACCACAGCAATATAGGGCAACATGATTTCATGTTCTTTTGGATGGTGAAAATATTCGTACTCCTGCCTGTTTAGCATACCATCTTTGTCTTGGTCACTGTACCGCCATTTCTTCTTATCAAACAAGACATACTTTTCCAGATTTGATCTTTCCCATTTAATGTGCATGTCTGTGTGACAAAAATGTCATTGATTGGTAAAAAAGGAAAGTCGAAAGATATTAGTGCAATTGACAATTGACTGTTTAAAAACCATAACCAAAGTAATTGCAGCGATCAATCAGAGCAAAGGTTTACATAATCATAAGCCAATGAGAACTCAAAGTAAAAAGAAGCAAACTGTATCTGATTGGTTCTGGGGATGGCGCAAGTTTTTTCGAACCATTTACAGAGCAAAGTTAAGTAAAATCAAAGCAATCCCGGATCACCTTCGACACGCAATTGAAAATTGCTCTAAAACGGAAGCACATAGCAGATCAGGCATTGGTGATGCATGTTTCGTCAGTCTGGGCCATAGACAGTTTTGTCTAAACAATGATGTCATGAAACATAGCGTCACGGTCCAATTTTTAATACTTACCGTATTTATTCGGCTGTAAGCCGTGACCCCAAACTTTGTACGTGTAGACTCGGCATAACGAGAACCAAAAATAAATCGAAAACAACCGGCAATTAGCCGAGACCCATTCATTATTACAAGACTGAATTGTTGACTGTGGGGAAACCTAACATTTTTTGAAAAAAATCACATTAATTGTCATAAATGAGGCTTAGACGATGGTGATTTATGGTGATTTAATATGCAAAGGACAAAAAAGCTAACTATTCAATTGAAAAGCAACGAATCATAACATGAATTGATGTGATCCAAAAAATCAATTTAAACCTAATTGTGCTGTTAAGCGGCAATACCGGTACCTACACATCCGTAGTGTCTATCAAACAATCCCTTGTTCGCAATCGTTTATTTCAAGTCAAGTTGTCATCATGCTTAAGGCACGTCGCGCGTCATACAACCTCGCGTTTAAACTTAAAATAGTCGCCGAAGCAGAGGCTGTTGAAAATAACTCTGAAATGGCATCAGTGAGTCCATGGTCCGTCGCTGGAGTAAAGATCAAGCCAACCTTTTTAACGGCGACATTAAATTGTCAGCGAAACGGAAGACGATGGCATGCTTCACGCCGAAGTATCCGGAGCTCGATCAAAGAATACTGGAATGGTTGACAGAGCGGAGAAGCTAAGTTTTTTGTCAAACATTGATTTTGTATTTTAAATCAACAGAGGAATGATCAAGAAGTAAATCAATCAGCTGATTGCAGAGTGAATGTGAGTTGAATGTGTGACTCGTAGTATCGTAGTATCATGTGACAAAATTGTGTAAGAAAGATTCTCATTGGCCAGTTTTTACAAGTGTCAAAATAAATTCAAGAGGTGTCTAATTTTTATCCTTTTGATCATATGGTGACCTTCTCACTTCGTTTTGCTTAGGAATAGCTGTTAGTGGATTGATGCTACGTCTAAAGACAAAAGAATTCAGCGAGGATCCCGAGTTTAAAGCGTCCCTCAGCTGGTACCAGAAGTGAAAGCGCCGCCATTCCGTCAACCTTCGGTCCGAAACAACACTCGCTCAGCGTCTCCCAGAAGATTTGGAGTAGCAAACAGTCAAGTTCCATCAATTTGTAATCACATCCCGTCAGCGTCACGGTTATTCCCTATCAAGAATCTTTAACATGGACGAGACACCGATGCGGTTCGAACTACCATCTAGTCGCACACTCGAATTCAAATTCAAAGTTAATAACCAATGATTGCATATTGTGTTTTTTACTTTAGTTCGGCTAACAAGTAAATACATCCCGACTGAGTAGAGTTTCCATGCGCTGGAAACATTTTTTTTCAAAAACTTTCGGCTATAAGTCGAGATCCCCTCTAGAGCCCAAATTTTAATTCACTTCAGTTTTAATTTGTGTAAAAATCGCTCGGCTTATATTCGAATAAATACGGTAGGCTAGCCCCAAATTTTAGTTCCGCATTTTCGTCTCTGATATTTATGGCCCTTGGGACCCAGTTCACTTAAAATAGCATAGAAAGAGCTTCACGTCAAGAACACTTTGAATGGCATCGGTTGAAACGGTTTGGCAGAAATCACAATTTTATTGTGAGTGAGGACACACATGCTATTACCATCATGAAAATTTGAGGTAACTAAGATTTTTTTTGGAAAAAGAAAAATATTACGATAAATCTCGATACATGTGCTTCACATTTATCAAAATAGAAGTAGAGTACACGTTGTTTAGTCTGAGTGCACGGCCGTTGTTGTTGTGACTTGCTCTCCTGAGTCATCTTGGCTTCTGCCATCTATCAATTTTCTCAGTATTCTTAAAGGTCCTTTTGTTTTTCGTTTCATCTCATGAATGATCGTATATCCTTTTTGAGAACAGTTTGTCGACTTTATAACAAATGACTGTCAATAAGACAGTCTGACAAAAATTATTGTAAAACGAGCTTCTAAAGTGATATCGATCAGGACTCTGAGGAAAGTCATCCCAAATAGGTCCGCTTGGCGTGCAAACGAACACTTTATCAAGTCCGGGAAAACTCAGATCGGCAAAAAGTTATTTCGACCCTAATCGATCTATTTTTGAGGATAATTCATCGTGAACAAGACTGACCTTATGTGAAAGAGGGTGCCCCTCAGATCAAGCAAAGAAAAAACTAGCGGCTAATGCTGGTCGAAGTGTGTTCCCTGAAATTATCGCATTACTACCTCTAATACGAGACATTTCCTTTAACATTCACGTGGAAATTGCAGATGATATTGTATTAAATATGTAATTTCATTGGTTGCTACTTTCCACGAGGCAGGTAGAATTTGATAAACAATGCGAGTAAAATACGTATATTTGTAACACATAGCGGGGTACGAGAATAGATATCACGTCTGTCGAAAATTAGATTTGTAATTCAGTAATACAGAAATAGATAAGTCAATGATGTCTGAAGTTTGTTGTTCCGACCCCTTCGCGTTCCGACCCCTTCGCATTACGACATGGCCGCCACGAAAAAGCCAGTAAGAAAAAGTATCGACCCAATCCTCCCTCGGCCACATAGTTTGTTTAGTTTTTTCATGAACAATGTTATCGCAGGAAGTTAATAGTATGGACAAAACTGTCTATAGTACGGACTGCTCGCGAAAACGAAAAGTTCAGCCTAAAGTTTTGTCGCACTGACATCGCTGCCATTTTCCCAAACTATTAAGTTCAAAGACGATCAAAAAATTATGCTTTTTCCACGGAACAAACACTCGAGCGGATCAAATTATTTACGATCTGTCTTGTTCGAATCAATCCAGTGTCAGCAAGGAAAATATAAATTAACAGTCACTTACAGGAACAGAGTTTGGACAAATTCAGTGTAATCTTGAATTGCAAATTTGAAAAACTATCCTTTTGGCTCCGCTTAAAATACTATGTTCTTATTAACCAAGTGGGAGGGCCGGACGGGAAATTTTGGCTCGAGGTCATGACGTACGGACAGCGCAGCGACCGCCTCGAAAGACACTTTATCGAAATTCTCGTTATCATTTCTAAGGGAGGATCAAGTTTGACCCTCGTCTCCTGGCGTTACTCATACCCACCCTCCTCAGTAAATCCAAATGTTCTAGTCATGTACTCCTTCCACGTGACCTTGTCATTGTTATTCATGTCCAGGTCTCTGAATATGGCGTCCACGTCCTCATCAACGGTCCACTTCTGCATCTTATGTCGAACCCAGATCTCCAACTCAGCCTCCTCTACGAAGCCGTCTTTGTTGATATCAATACGGGGCACTAGCATTCTGAATGAGAAAAAAATAATCTTTTGGGAAGAACTAATAAAAGACATTCTTATCATGGTGAAATATTATATAAGCCACCACGTGCTAATGATACTGACATGGTTAACGGCTCATCAAGGACATTTACTGGTGACGCATTGAAAGAGGCAGGTTTGGTGTCAGAATAATTATTTCATGAAGCAAATCAAAACGAGTGAAATTTGAAAGACACAATATGCTTTAGAATATTTACACAGCTGTTTTTATTTACTTACTAAATGATATTTAAGTATGATAATGAGCAGCGTACAGCATGCGTGTCATTGATTATTTTTTTCGTGAATTGGAATAAATCCTTCCAAATTTATTGAGGAATAATCTAAGCTTTTGTTTTCTATTCAGTTTAGAATTTTATTCATTGACCTGAACTAAAGCTTAAATACTCTTGAGTAGCAGTTTTAGTTGACAAGCGCAATCACCCAAGAGGTATATACATCATTGTCTAGTTGTTCAAGTCACAGAGAAAATTTTCGCCGAGATAAAAACTCTACGTAATTAGATACCACTCAAGGATCAAACCGAACAACTGCCTAGTAGTCACATCGTTGAAAAATAAATTTTCCGTTATAATATGTACCAATTTAAATTTTTTTTTTTATTTTAAAACAGTGCTCTCCTTTATTTTAACACCGATTTTCACCAAATAACGATAGTTCATACATCATTTTTTGATGCAAAGTTTGTACATTTAACTAGAAATGTTTTATAATTATTAAATTTCTCATTAAGCTTTTTCATACAAGGTATGTACGAGGTACCTGAGCCGTCTCCTGGACTCTTGAGGGGAAAGTTTGTCAAATTCTTTGGCCATCTTCTCTCCAAGGAAGGCGATATGATCATCCTCGTCACTATGTGTGCGTCCACCAAAGCTGTGTTCAGAATGCTCTACGGATAAATCAACTAGAAAAACAAGAACCGCGATAAAAAATAGAGAATTTTGCGACTCCATATTACAAGCGCTTGTTATATTAGGAATCTCCTAGAGGAATACGAAATCGATTACTTGTGTTGTTCATTTACGGAGCAATGTTTAGTCAGCCGTGACGCGTGGTTCAACCACAGGTGCGCCACGTTCTCGACCCGGTTGTGGACTGGATACTAGGACTTTCTGGTCTCTCTTATAGCCGATCACCATTGTATAACTGAATGTGTATGATTTGTAAACGGCAATCTGGACTGTTATACTACTCTATTTCTCATCTATTTTCACTGAAGATGTTTCTTTGATTTTACAGAAAACTGTAGACAGCTCCATTGCTTTTAAATCATGACGAGATAGAACTTTCGATACGGTTGCAAAACGAGTCGGGCTAAACTGTATTTTTTTAATCATTTTTCGTCCGCTCTCTTATCTCTATTTCAGCGAAAACAGCGAAAAAAAAAACCATATTTCCTTACAGGAATTAACCGATTCATGAAGATAATTTTCAGATCGACACTTTTTACAGTTTATGATATTACACTCGCGGTTCCAGTGATGTGAAGTACTTCCGGTCTTAGTGATAAAATTCGCGAATACGGCTATTCAAAATAAATTCCTAGATATGGGTGTTCACGATCCGTTTTAAGATATAAATGTCGAACAAAACGAAATTGGAAATTTGCAAGTTTGTTCTTTTAAAAATGGTTTTAGACGCCAAAAAGAGTTCGTCAATTTCGGTATCGTAAGTAATTATGATAAACTTGTCAAAAATACAGCATGTATCGATGAAAGAACCCCGATCCATTTCCTTTATTCTGGTATCAATCGATCTTATCTTACAACAAGTCTGGTGACGTCTTTTGATGAGTTTTCGAAACAGCGAGTTTCAACAAGATTGGCAATGCCTAGAAATGGAAGAAATTAGTCGTCGTTGCTTGAAACAAAGCCTGATAACTGGGCAGTGTTACAAGAAGTGTTTAGCGCCACAATTTTGGAAATATTTTGTTCATTGAACATTAAGATGTTTAGCAGTTTTAAAGTTTCTAGCAACTTCATATTACACTTTGAGAAGTAGAGAAGTGAGGACAAGAGAGAAACCGTTTCAACTCACAGAAAGGAAACCATTCAAAAGTCGTGTACTTTGTACTACATGTTGCGTTGGTGTTGTGACGTCATTCAGCGCAAATGTATCCTTACAGCTGTCTCTATTTATCCTAGTGTTACTTTGTTCACTTCCTTTGTAGAAAGAGATATTTATGGTAAAGTAACTGTATTACTGAGAAGAAAGAGGTCAGGGTCTGTCGCGGCGGTTTTTTGCGTTCCAGCGGTTGCTTTGAAAAAGTTGAGACGACAAAGGGGACAGGGGAGGGGAGGGGAGGGGGGAAGCTACGGTAGCAATGATAAATGTTCAGGGTGGGTTTTCCATCTATCTCTAGTCTATACCTCTTCAAATTATATATGTTTTCACTAGGATATTGTCAAAATAAAAGCCGTTCAATGAAACTTTAAACCAGTGGTACATATTTTTATCCACTTAGTCATCATAGCGAATGCTTGAGGTATTGTTTTAATTCAAAATATGATACACTTCGATATACTGAAACAATTTTCCTATATATGGAAACAGGAAGAAGTAAAGAAATTCGCGGTCACACCAACCAAGCCAGCTAGGGAGATGAAAGATGAATTGCTTAACATAGAAGAGGGCTGTTTGCATTTCGGGGTAATAACAATGAAATTTACTGCACTGAAGGCAGCATATCTAAATCCCTTTTCTTGAAAACCAAGGGGCACCAGCCCACTGAAGGAGTCACGCAACTTGTAAACGGAAGTGACCAGAGCATTCAGTTTTGGCGTGACAGTTTATTTTTCGTCTGGACATTGTCTCCAAGTGACATGTAAGACCGATATTCAGTAATGCTGTTTCATTTTAGCGTTGTTATAGCTCCGTGATTTAATTAAGAAGGGGCTCAAGTTCAATTTAATTGGTTTTCGAACCTGTTATATTTGTAATTAAAGAGACCAAAATAACTTCATTGATATCTGAACACATCTATTGGGGAGTTAGCATAGTTACTAACACCGGTTTGTTTGGTGGCGCGGATTAGAGAAGCAATCGGAAATTGATATAGACTGTCCACTTAAATATGGAGCGATGAAGATGACAGATGATAGTATAAAAAATGTATAGATATTACTTTTAATACAAAAATTGAAAAAAATTTCAACGATTAGTTCCTGTGATGAAGCGTCTATGGGCTTGGTCAGTGATTACGCTTATCGCATCAGCTTTTTTTAACGTGAGGATCAAATTTTTGATGTCAAAACCAGGTGGAAGTTGTTTGCCGCCGAGATAATGTTTGCTTGTCTAGCAATTATAGGTCACTTTCGAAAACTCCCATTTAAGGCGACGTCTGAGAAACAGAGTAATTCTTTCTCCATAGGGTATTAATCATTATAGGAAATGTTCCAAAACGAAATCGCGGTTTCCTATTCCGTTGTATTTATTTCCGCGTAGGATCTGTTGTATTTACATCAACAAAATAATTCTGCGATAATTTTTCTGTCGATTACCTTATCAGTTAGATAATAATTATGACGTTTTGTTGCTTCTGTTACAGTGGAGGTTTGAGATGACACCATCAATCATAAATGTGATTATAAATGGGTTCTTCAGTTTTGTCATGATACCCTGCAAACAGTATTGAATAATAAGTGTAAATAATTGATACTTAATACCAACTTGAAATTGCTGTTCCTTTTCACAGTAATTAATACCGACACTTTCGAAAAAAAGGATTGAGTACGATTCGGGGAAATCGTTAGGCGTTGATTTATTCAGATTAAAAAATAAAAATTTTTTCCTTTTCTCTTGATGTAACTTGTAATTGCAGCGGAAGGAAGAAAAATGTTGAGAATTATTTCCACGCAACGCATATGCATTCATAGAAAAGATATTCAAATAATTCTGTGAACCAAAAATTATTCCTAGAATAAGATTTTCTTTGTTACGTAGTTTTTGACCATAAACATCCTCGTAAGTTGAGCACAGTTCCTTCTATTTATCATCATCGAAGATTTCTATTGGCCACCTCAAATAATGTCGGTTTATTACCGGAATTAGATGAACCTGTTGCTTACCTCAGAGTGCCGGCAAATACTACCACTTCAGTTATGATGGACGGAATTTCATTTGTTTACGAACCTGTACTAAAACCAATATGAATGGGATGAAACGAAGAAAATAACCCATGAAGTAATTTTGTTGGACATAAAGCGGTAGTTCCCCACTTTTAGATATTTACCCAACCGACAAATCAGGAGCGATCAAACTGTATTTAAAGGGTGAGAAAAACTTCTCACGACATCAAAACCACTTCATACAATTAGATAAAGAAGACCGAGCTGCGAAGACATATTAAAGAAGCCACAAGCTCACCTATAAATTGATAATGGAGATCTACAAGGTAAGGTTTCCGAGCACTTTAATTCTTGCTTGTTAATATTCCAATAACACTCTAGATTTTTAGGAACTTCTATAAAATCTTTTGATAAAATCATGATCACCAACAACCACTTTTTTGCATGTAATCAAAAGTGACTTCAAAACACAAAAGTTGTGATAAATACTGCTGAAAAATTTTCATTGCTGAAAAATTCGTCCACTTGTTACTAGCTTAGTTGATCATTTGTAAGATATACTTGCTGCTTTTTGTATGAGTTATCATAATACCGTTCTCCACAGACAAATGGAAATGAAGAAGCTAACATGCTCATACTTTCACTGTTAAGCAACAATTAGACAAAAAACCGAAAACAGTTTTTGAAACAAACTGAAATAAACATAATGATGGTCGTTTGAATCATGGGCGGCCGATTGGTGACTTTCACGGGTTTTTTTTATTTTACTCTATCAACTATCACGGCGAAGTTTGAATTTTTTTCAGATTTCTTACTTCAGAAAATATATGTGTTTATGAAACAAAACCTAACAATAACGGTATTTCTCCCAGTTCCTTTTCGCTTTACTTGCAATGTTAGTACACCGTGGAAACTGCCGGGCGATTATATCAAACAGTAACGATGGCTTTGGTGACCTATCCCGAAAAGTTGATGAGGTGATTGACTCGATCTTGAAGGAGGATTATAACCAACGGGAAAATTCTAGTCCCAATGGCATCTCAGAATCGGACACAGACAGTCAAGAAGGACAAGAGCTTTTCAGTGAATTTGCCATTGGTGAATGGTCGGATGACGTCATTCCATCTATGGGAAGTGCCCCGCAGTGGAGACATAAGAGGTCCCCAGATCAAGGAGAGAAAGGCTGTTACACTGGAAATTATTTGACAATCACTTTGTCAGGTAATAGGCGGAGACGTTTCCCCATCTGTAAAAGCGTTACGTCTTGGGGTACCGCTTGTGCAAGTTCGATGAAAAACAACAACAATCAGAGAAAATGTAAGGGATCGCGTTACTTAACAGTAAATGGCACAGCATACCCTCAGATCTGCACATGCGCTTAAAAATCATATTTTGAGCCTCTTCAAAACTACCACTGTGTCAGGAACACAGCAACAATATTTATTATTACTATTAATTATATGTAGAACCATTCAAAATTATTTAAGTATTTGTCCATCTGTCAAGGAAAGAACGGAGAATTCTCCTATTGTAGTGATTTATTCTAGAGATGATGATCGGTAAAATTCTTGTAGCAAGAATTTAGGATGAGTATTTAATGTCAGAGCCTCTATAAATTATCGTTTGCATGTCAAGTTTTGCTTTTCCATTTCATTTCTAGAAATTTAATAAAGATATTTTGTCCACGTTTCGTGGAATAAGTTGCATGATATTTTATATGATATAACGACTTGTTGGTAATATTTATCATTGCAATATATTGTGTTATATATATATTTATATGTTGATAAACTTGTTCATTTTGAAAGATATTACTGACCTCCTCAAACAGATTGTTTGCGCGCAAGTTGTTCAACAAACTTTTTAAATACGTAGTTGTGAGATATTCATCTGTAAATTTTTTTGACCAATAAAGTATTTTATATTTTTTTAATTTCTGCT